CGAACAGAAGATCCTCGTTCGGGATACCGCATTCCCGGCCTCCTGTATCCGTCCGTCCCCAATAATTTCCTGCGCTTTTAGTCGCGCCTGTGATGGATGGGAAGCGCTCATTCACTCGCTTCTATTTATTTATTGACAAAGTTTTTAGAATTAAAAATTGAACTTGTACTGAGATGTTCACCCAGCTTTAATGATTTAGGCAAACGTTTGTCTATTATTATTTACTGTGTGTAGTTTACTGTCTCAGAGCAGTAGAAATAAAGCTAAATAGCACATTGGTCTGTTTTTTCAAGCATCCCTTATTGTTAAGAACCTAAAACTCTAAAAGGTTGTTAACGACAGCATGGCGTTTGGTCCATCTAGTTCCTTTGTTTTTTAAGAGCTAATGGATTTGAGAATCTCATCCAACCATTTTAACATCTGAGGAGACAACCTGTAAGCCAGACGTCCATTATTTGTGATTCACACACGTTAGGCACCTTTTACCTTTTGTCAATAATGATATATACCCTACCTGTTTCAAGAACATACTGTAGCATGTGTTTGCCCATAGGCTTGCCAACTGACCCCAGACCAACAGGATACACTGAGACAGGAAGAATTTGCATTCTACTTCTGCACTGAAACACATTAACATTAACATGTAAAATAAGCAGAATTACAGTGTTTTTCTTATTATCAATCAAAGATTCCACAGATCAGAACAGGGGTTGCCAGACCCGGTACTGGGGACCTTTGAACTACAGCTGAGCTCTTCACTGACATGAATCCTTAAACGAAGTAACAGGTTGCTTGAGTAGACACTTTGCACATTTCGCTTCTGTTCAAAGGTCGTTTTAAGTTTCTAAAAAAATGCAATAGTCAAAAAGCAACCTTCATTGTCTTTAGGAACAGGAAACAGAGAGTCCAGATTAATCCTATACTTAGACTGGTTAAAGGTTCAGGTTTTGTGGATCACGTACCGGCAAGCGTGCACGCCCCCAGAGGTGGGAACTCTTGGTTCAGGCAGTTAGAACAGCTCAGCCTCCAGTCTGACTTTTTGTGAAGTGTCTGTGCAAGACTCATAGATTTACAAAAGCTAGCCACCAAAATCTGCAAGCCGGGTGACTGCTGAAGGAAAAGGTTAGTCCAATATTCAAGCCACAGAGGCTCATGGGGTCAGAGACCATCCTGGTTTCTGCGGTGTTAAGCC